TAAACCCTAAACCCTAAACAAAAACTGACTGCGACACTTTCCGACCCATGAGTCTGGCACCGGATGTTGCTCTGAGGGTCCTTGCAGGGGCCGGGGTGGCTTCTGGAAGTTTAGGGCCCCTAAACCCTAAACCGTTTAGGATTTAGGCTTTAGGGTATGGGGGAGTTTGGGGTTGAGGGTTTTAGGGTTTAGGGCTTATGGGGGTTTAGGGTTTGGGAGCTGTTTGGGGTTTAGCGTTTACCCTAAGCCCTAAACCCTAAATTGGGGTGTAGCTTACTTGGCGTTGAAAGTTGCTTCGGGTTTCGGGTTTAGGGGGCTTCGGCGGTGAACCGTAAAGGCTAGACAGCAGCCTCGAACAATCCCCCCCATTGCACCCCTCGGCTCTGGCCATAACCCTAAACCCTAAACCCCTAAACCCTAAACCCCTAAACCCTAAACCCCAAACCCTAAACCCTAGACCCTAAACCCAAAGGCTCTTGCCTTGATTACGATTTGCGCCTGAAGCTGAAGCAACGCCGAACATCTAAAGCTCTAGCCCAAAGCCGCAAGCCCTAAACCCTATCCCTAACCTCTTAACCCAATTAAGCCGTAAACCCCTACTACAAAGTGGAAAGATCGAACTGCCCGTTGCCCTCTAGAAAGTCTGTCTCATCGGGTCCTGTGTTCTCCAAGGTGCCGCTTCTGCTGTAGCGCGGGAGGTCGCGCCAGAGCCCTGCATAGTTCTTCACCATCTCTGATACTCCAGGTGTATTTTTCTGCGGTAAGATGGTCATTCCTGCTGCTTTGTTCATCGTGAAGTTCTGAAGCATGCATATTTGTGAAGCGCCTTGCTATTGTTGATGGTGGTATCTTTGGCTGATGATGGTGACAATTTTGTGTGGCATTTTGTCATCGACATGGAAGATGCCATGACAGTTCGGCGGTCATTACTGCTACTATGAGCATACTTGCTCTGAGACATCAGGCTAGCTCGTTTGAACGGTTCTCTTCAGCCTCCTCCGCCTCCTCATCATGATGATTTCGTCTGTCAACACTAAACAAACCTCCAAACCCCTTAAGCCCTAAGCCCTGAATCCCTTAATAGGTTGCTAGCACAAGGGGCGGCAACAACGGGACGAAAAGCCGTGAAACCAACGGAGCGACGCGGCATGAGATGGAAGACCTGAGAATCATGTTTAATGTTTGGGGTTTTGGGTGTAGAGGTTAGGGTTCAGGGTTTAGGGTTTAGGGGGTTGCCCCTGATGATTAAAACCCCCTTACCTTGAAAGGGACTCCAATAGGGATCCGGATATTTTGGCATTTTGGCTCAATGGCGCTTATTCTGACTGGATCTTCACAGGCTTGCTCTTGATTTCTGTCAGAAGTCTGGGAGAGCTTTAAGGGAACAGTTAAGTATGCTCCCCCACCCGGGACTGATAACCCAACACTTGAGCTTACATATCCCGACGAGACCTCGTTTAATCTCTGACAGTGGGCGATAACAGGTTAAGGACGGTTGAGAGTTTCGAGTTTAAGCTCTAGGGCAACCTCAATCATCGACTCTTGAATGCAAAACTTGGGCCTCTGGAAGTGGTCATCGCCGCTCGCGCGCTGCCCTGGAGTTTCCATTTCGTCTTTAATCCATGCAGCTGATGCAAGGGTAACCTTTCCGGTGAAAGGGTGCTGAATTTGCCGCGCGGCTGCCACTAACCCTAACCCCCAGGTACCCCCTCTTCTAGGGTACTAGGGCCCTATATAGTATGTCCTGGAGGGATAAAGTTACATACCCCTTGTGACCTCTAGGCAGTACGTGCCAAAAAGCCGACCAGTCCCTGAACTCATCCTCGAACCTGGCCATGTGGAGGCTCTAGGGTTTAGGGTTTAGGGGTTTAGGGGTTTAGGGGTTAGGGGTTTAGGGGTTCAGGGGTTTAGGGGCTTAGGGGTTTAGGGGTTTAGGACGGTTTAGGGGTTTAGGGGCTTAGGGTTTAGGGGTTTCTGGGTTTAGGTTTTAGGGTTTAGGGTTTTAGGGTTTAGGGAATCCCATTGACAATTTCAGGGTCCACATCAAGAACTAGTATGGGGGTTGGAAAAAGTAACTAATAAGAGTCGTAATCGCTTAATGGTCCATTGATACGCACCAGCACCCTATTCTGGCTAGTGAGGCCCCTGTATTATGACATCACACTAGAACCCACAAAAGCCATATTCTAAAAAACATAACGGCGCCTCACCCCTAAACCCTAAACCCGATAGTACGTTCCCAAAAGCACGGCCGGCGCCACCACTCGGCTGCGCTGCGAGCTCTGCGAACCGCTGGCGGTGGAGGTCAGCGACCTTCCACGAGGAACGGCCCGGTTTAGGGCTTTGGAGTTTTAGGATTTAGGGTTGGGTTTCAAGGTTTCAGGATTTGGTGCTGAGGGTTGAAGGAGTTGACCCTTAAATTATGAGGGGCTTGATATTATCGAAGGCCTGTTTCTTGCTTGAGGGTCTTTTGGGCTCTCTGGGAAGAACAGCCCTGTTCCGGGGCTTATAACAAGTCGACGGTCTACGGTCTACAAGGGCTCTCAAACAAGTTTGGGATACAGCCTAAACCCTAAACCCCTAAACCCTAAACCCTAAACCCTAAACCCTAAACCCTAAAAGGGCTGCGGGCTCACATAAAACACATGGCTTCAAAGCCCTGCAGGCCCCAGCAGTGACCGTATTCTATAAAGTGAACGGTTTAGGGTTTAGGGTTTAGGGTTTAGGGTTTAGGGTTTAGGGTCTACAAACCACAAAAGGAATACTGACTGAACATGCACAGCAAACCACCAGAGGCCTTAGGCCTTGCATATCGTACATAAACACCCGCTGGCGAAGTGGCTGTAATGACAATCACAAACCCCAAAGCAATGGAATCGGAAAGCCGGGATCGAAAAGCAACAGCTTGCACAAACAAACCTGAGTGTCAAACCCTAATGTCCAATGCCCCGAATCTCTGAACACCTTCAAGCTTACAGTCTGAACCCGAAATCCTTAACCTCAAACCTGAAAACCTCAAATGCCCTAACAAGAGCCAGGTGGACGTGGCGCTTCGGAGAGCCAGGGCAAGGTTACCTCGGCGGTGTGGAGGCTGTCTTAAAGCCAGCGCTCTTGTATGCTAAGAACTCTTCTGCCAAGGTTCCGCTATTTCGTAAACTTTGGGTCTACAAACCCTAAACCTACATTGTGCTCGATTCCTGCTGGACAGGAGGCTTCAGGGGCGAAGGGCTCTGCGGATAATTGGAGATTAGGGCTCATTACCAGTACCAGCAAGACAGGTGCAAGCACGATAGAGCGACAAAAAATGAACAGTCAACAAGGCAGACTGTGACAACTACTGGGTTGCTCATCGTCTAAACCTGCCACTGTTGCAGTGAGATTGCAGAAGCAACTCCTCCCCTTCTGCAAAAAAAAAGCAAGGAATCCGAACACCCAAACCGACCTTGTACACAAAACTTCGTGAATCTCCGGCGCGAACCCCATGCAAGCCCAAGAGCATAATTGGGTCCTCTGAACCCGCAGAGCCACCGAAACAAAACACGAGATTCTAGATATCTTTTGAAGCCCTGAACGAAGCCTTCCTTTCTTGAAATGGCTTAGGGGTGCAGGGTGAAAGGCTTAGGCGTTTAGGGACCCCAAACCCCAGACTCGAGGATTATTCTCGGAAAAACTCTTGTAGAAGCCCAACATTTTTGAACCCCAAACCTCAAACTCCAATTGTTAACTAGTTTAGACATCCTAAACCCTATAAACCCTAAACTCTCAACCTTCGGGATTAGTGTGTAGTGGTGTCTGTGCGCCGCACCCCAGCAATCGTTGCCCTGGCCCTCGCCTGACCATGCACTTCATGACATAGAATATGTCTTGGGGGGGGGGGGCGGGTAGAATATACCATAGTAAGATGGTAGAATATACCATAGTAGGATGTCTTTGAGGTAGATTATACCATGAGGAGGAGCCCTCAGGAATAGTATTAGTAGCTATCGAATCTTATCTAGCTCAATAGACGGCTTTGAATTGTGGACGAAGCGCTGGTGGCTTAATGTCGGTTGAGGTACGGGGTTTAAGTTTAGGGCTCAGGGTTTAGGGTTTATAGGGTTTGGGTTCAGAGTTTAGGATTTGCGGTTCCGGGTGTAGGGCTATATCAAAGAGCAACGCCGCAGTGAAGTTGGAAAAAATAGAAAAGAACTTCCGCTACATGGATCTCCGTGCCATCCAACAAGTGGTACTCAGAGCTTTGCGGCTGCTTCCCCCAAGAACCCTGAAAATAACAGTAAGGGTATCCTCTCTCCTACTTAAACTACGCCACAAGAAAACTGGATGCAGCCGTGCCACAAGGGCTGCTAATGCTGATGGTTGCGATATTCGTGTTTCGATTTGCGTTCTGAGAGGAGGTCTGTTGGACAATGCTTCGCATGCGCGTATGTAGCAACTCGATAAGCGCTAAACCTGAGGCGATGGTTCCTAAACCCTTAACCCTAAACCATATAAACCCTAAACCCCATAAACCCTGAACCCGAAGCCCTATAACCCTAAACCCTGAACCCTAAACCCTATAACCCTAAACCCTATAACCCTAAACCCTGCACAAGAAATACCCTGTGGTATCCTTATAGATCTTTTCGAGGAACTCACAACAGAATACCCTATGGTACCCTCATAGAGCCTTAGTTTATAAAGGCACACACAACAGAATACTATAGTACCCCTATTGAACCTTCAAAGGAACCCATAATCCACAGACCCTGAAACCCTAAACCCCAAACCCTAATCAAACACTAAACCTTTAAAGGAACCCATAACGGATCCCTTGAAGGTGCCTTGGGTGCTTGGGCTCCGGGTCTGTGGCGAAGCTCCCGCTCTGGGTCTCGTGCTCCTGATGGCACGGAAAAAGGTCTAGGGTTTAGGGTTTAGGGAGTTGTTAGGGGCTTTAGGATTATATAGAGTCTAGGGCCTAGGGGTGTTAAGGGCGTAGGAAACTCTCTTCAATAATAACCGGGCCCAACACAAAAACAAACTCTGCAAGGTCACAAAAAAATTGAAATTTTCCCATTGGCTATCGAAGCAGATCTCATGTATTTTTTTCAGGGGGAGTTCAGAGTTTGGAGATGTTAAGGGCTGAGAGGTTCAAGAGTTTAGAGTTTAGGCAGTTTAGGCCTGAATTGGCTAAACACTGCACTGCAATGGAGATTGTTTCGGGCATCGTGTCACTTTAGGTTTCCAGCTTGGTGGGATTTGAGACCCGATGGCTTTCGGCGATTTAGTGCTGGCGAGGTTTTGCACGGTTTCAGATGGTCGAGGCTTGTGTGCTGCTTTTCTTGGGGGCCCCTAACTGAAGGGCAACCTAAGTCCCAAAACGCCCATACAAGCCCGATGCTCACAGGTAAACACCACCAACCCTAAATGCTGCGGTCATGACAGTCATGGATGGTCATATATCTATATCTATCTATATATATATATATACATATATATATATATATACGTATATATATATATATATGTACGAATATGCTAGATATACACACATACAGACACAGATGCATGCATGCATGCATGCAT